TAGTAGTAAGGGTTCAGAAAGTAGGTGGGTTTGGGCGTTGCAGTTTGGTGGGGGGAGGCTGAAGACGCTGGTAAATTCTGCAACTGGAGTTCCAGCAGGAGGACCTGAAGCTCAAGAACCCAAGAAGTTGATTCTTTCAGCTATGATACGCCTAAACCCTGAAATCACATTAAACCCTAAACCTGACACCCTAAACCCTATACTTGCCTCCTCGTTCACCTTATCCTTAGGGGTACTAGAAATATTTCTTTAATTTTTGCTTATTATAATCCCTAAGAAACAGCTAAACTCATAATTTTTGCTAGGGTTCTAAGTTCAGTATAGGTACACACGGCTGTCTTATGCTTTCTGTCGGGTTGTGCGGTCGAAGGCTCGTGGGACTTTGTAAATAGTTGTTTTTAGAGACTTATAAGTATCGTAACCCCTATGTAGGGTCCCCATTAGGGTACTTATAAGTCTACTTACTACCTACTTACTAAGTCCCCCGACCCTCCAAGTGTGGATTCCTGGATTTCGTGTGCTTCGGAGAGGACGCTCCAAACCTAGGTATCGGTTTGGGATAGGTTTTCAATCTTCCTTAGAGTTCATTAGAGAGCCCTAATGATAAATAGTTTTGGGGACTGTTGAAATCGACACCTAGTATAGGGGCCTGAATTCAATCGCCTGAGTTCAACCAGCTAACCTGAGCGTGCATGTCACAGTCGGCACTTTGATTTAGCTGCCCCTCTGCCGTGCGTCGCAACGGTTGATGATATAAATCCTGCATTACCCATAATAAGGAATATACCATGATTCCCATAGTTAAGGGTCCTTAAGGTAATGCAGGATTTATATCATCAACAGAAGCAGCAGAGAACCTGCTCAGGTGTTCGTGGGTTCTCGGACCCTATAAGCCGTCAACCCTCAACCGTCAAGCCTAAAGCCAAGACCTCAAACCCCAAGACCCTACACCCTAAACCTTAAGCCCGAAACCCTAGACCCCAAAACCCTAAACCCGTAAACCCTAACCTCGAAACCCCTAAACCTTATAAACCCCAAACCCGTAAACCCCCAAACCTTAGAAACCCTAAAACCCCAAACCCATGAACCCCTAAACCCCTAAACTCGAAACCCTAAACCGTATAAATTATAAATCCTAAACCTTCAACCTTGTAAGCCCTACACCTTTTGGGGTTTAGGGGTTTAGCGGTTTAAAGGTTTAGCGGTTTAAGGGTTTAGGGTTTAGGGTTTTTCAACCCTGGCTCTCCTAAACCCACCCAGAGAGCCCAAGACCCCTTAATTAAGGAATACCTAGGGTTCCTTAAAAGGGCTCCTTAAAGGGAGCTATAAGGGTTCTATAAGGGAATTAAGGAATATGGCTTAAATCATAATATGGAGCCCTATATAATTTAAGCCATATTCCTTTCTTTCGGGGGTATTGGGCTCTCCTAAACCTACCAAGGCCCCAGTTCAAGGCGGTCTCTGGCGTGGTCAAAGCTTACGGCGACAAGCTGCGGAGTCTGAAGACCGCGGGAAGCGCTGGCTACTAGGGGTTTTTTTAGGTATAGGGGCCTCGGGTCTAGGGTTTAGGACTTTTGGCTTAGGGTTGTGGGATTCAAAGATTTACGATTTGGGGTTTGAGGGTGCACGGATCGCTAAAGGGCTTTGAAGAAGGAAGCTCCCCTTACATTCAGCTCTTCTGAAGGGATCAGCCCGACTCCTCCGACTCCTTCTCTGATCCTCACTATAGTCTCCTTAGGATTTTCTTTTAGTTTTGTTCATATAAAACCCAAGAGAATGTTGAAACTAGTAATTTTGCCATGGTTTTAGGGGGGGTATAGGTCAACCCTTTGATTTTTCCTTTCTGCTGCCGACTCCTGGGACTTGGCTAACTGCTCTGCTGGAAAAGGTCGCGGAGCGAGGTGATTGAGAGCATGACCCCAAAAGTATGTAGAATAATAGTCTTTTTACAGGATTTGGGCCATTATCTAGGTAGGGGTTAGCGTCATTTTCAGCATCCATTTGTTGTTTTCATTGTAGGGATCAAAACCACATTCCAGATATCAAGACGCCCTATAACACCCTAAACCCTAACCTCAGATGCCAGCAGACATGCGAAGCCCAGACCACGAAATCCTGAAATGCCTGTGGGTAGGATTTTGGGTTTATGCCTTGGGCTTCCAGGGTTTAATACCTGAAGGCGTCTTCACGAGGCTATATAGGGGGTTCTCTCAGGTTCAGGCTTCCATATTAGGGTTTCGGTTTAGGGAAATTCTTGTTTGAGTTTTGAGGTTTGGTTTCATGCGACGTCGCATGGAGTCGCCCTGCCGGGCAAAACATTCAGAGGCTACGTATTGTGCTCTGGGCGCTGACTGCAAGCCTGCCAAACCCTAAACCCTAAACCCTAAACCCTAAACCCTAAACCCTAAACCCTAAATCCTAAACCCTAAACCCTAAGCCCTAAACCCTAAACCCTAAACCCTAAATCCTAAACCCTAAACCCTAAGCCCTAAACCCTAAACCCTAAACCCTAAGCCAACCTACCGAAGCTATGGAAACAGCCAGCCAGAGCCTGAACACGTGCACAACTCCGAAGAACAGCAGACTCTTGCAGCGCTGAATTTGAACACGCAGTTTAGAGTTTAGGGCTGAGGGCTTTGGGTTCAGGGATAAGGATTTTAAGGCCCAGAGTTTGGGGGTTTCTAGTGGTTAGGGTTCAGGGTTTTAGGGAGAAGCCCTAAACCTTAAATTGCAAACCCTAAATCCGCAGCCTTATAAACCTGAAGCCCTCGTCGAGAGTCCGCACATCGCGCAGGAGCGGGCACTGGTGCTCACCAGCGAGCCCCCGCTGCCGCCCCGCCCGCAGATTCCATGGTGTGAGTTGAGTATTCATGAGCAAGTGAGTGATCAACCTAGCGAATGTACGAGTGTGCGAAGCAACATTTTGTAGCGGTGAAAGAAAAACACGTGTTCCACTTTATAGTGATCATGCGCCGGCACCAATTCCGGCACCAACGCCGCAAGCCGGTCTACCGTGCTGCCTCCGACGCTTCTTTGCATCCATCTGCATCGCGTAAGAGCTTTTGTTTCCATCCATCAATGCTCGGCGGGCCCGCAAGATCGGCCTGCACACCGGCAAGCCGGAGGATGCAGCGATCCTGTCTGCCCTCCACACGGCCGACCGACAGACGCGCCACGTGGGCAGAGTTTTAGTGGAGGAGTTTAGGTCGATTTGCTTGAGCTACACGGTTGCAGAGTTGAATGCAGGGCCCATGGCGGAGCCCGCACCTATGCGAAACTATATGTGGGCTCCTTCTTGTCTACACCTGGCCCCGGGCCCAGCAGGCCGTCAGTGATGCCACAGATGCTGGCTTGTTCAGGCTGGATGGCAGGGCATTGACAGACCTTGCACCAAGCTGGAAGATTCTTGTCTATGCAAGAGTTTTGCACTGCATGGGTGTTTGCCAATTTCTGACACATAGAGCTGCTTGAGAGACTGCTGTGTCGCCGAAGTCATCCCGTTGCCGCCCTGGTTTCGAGTCCCGCTGCAGCACGCCCTGTGCGAATGGATGGAGCAAGCAAGGCAGTGGGACAAGAAGCTGGAGGAGAGACGCCACGCTGGCAAGGAACTGACCCCCAAGCAGCAGGTCAAATACGATGCCTGGGTTGCCCAGACACAGAGACCACTCGTGTTCAACAAAAAGACAGGGCGCTTGGTGGCCAATCCCGGCAAGGAGACACTCTCCAAACTGAAGAAGGACTGTCTCCTTGTAGTCCTGCACCTCTCTCGCCACGCTGAGGAGCTTAAGCTGACAGCAGGGAACACTGGCGCATGGCATTTGACAAGGTGGACCACGAATCCATGCTCATTGCCTTTGGGCGCATCGGAGCACAGTGCCAATAAGACAGAAATAGTTGGAGACCCTTACAGTGATCAAACATTCCGGCACGGCGAGACCTCTAAGGCTGCGCTGCACACAGGAATGAGGTGTTCATGCCCCTGAAGCCATGCCCGATTAAACATGCTGATGACGGTTTTGTCAGATCTGGAAACACGTCTATGTGCCCATGGATTCCCACTAACTTAGGGTCAGTGGGCAATACGATCTAGAGTACGCCGACGACACACAATTGATTCGGCTCAGGTCGGAGCAAACTCATGGATTTCCGAAGGCGCATCAGGTATAAGCAGCCCTTTACGCAACGTTGTTAAGCCCGATCAAGGCGCAACATCTACCACACCCCCTCGCTACACCGCAAACCCTGAGTTGATCCAGTTCCTCAGTCCGAGTTTTTCTCAGGACAGCCCAACGAAAACAGCAATCGAAGATCGCAGGAACAAAGCGCAGGCAGCTTTCATGAAGCTACAGCAGCTCGGGTACAGCAAGCTAAACACCAGGACCAAGGTAAAGGTATTCTGCAAGCCCTAAATTACGGCTTGGATACTCTTACATTTGAGATACCGCACTTCAAAACCATCGCCTGGTCTCACAAATTTTTCCGGAGATGCATGGGAGTCAAAGCATCATCCAGCATGAGCAATCGAAGGTTGTGAGTTTTGCAGACCGACCCAAGCCCCTTTCCCAGACTTTACGACAACAACAGCAACAACAAATCTCTCAACTATGCAAGCCTCTGGTTACACCGTTAGCCATCCAGTTCGCCACGTGGTCTTATCGCCGGGATACGGGGGGTCATATTAAGTACACCAACTCTGCACGTAGAGGACACCCCCGCGCTACTGGCTGGAGCAAGCAAGCCAGCTCTTCAACCACACTTTGACCACACCGCCTCAGACAGCAGGAGAATTTTTATTTGGACAAAAAGGTTACCTAAATATGTACCCGGAATATAATCTGCATTTGGAGACTGCGCCGACTCGCTCCTCCCACGCGACGTTAGGATGCGCGTGGCAACCGCAAAAAAAACCTTAAACCCTGGACCCAAAAAGCCTGAGTGAGAAGGGGCTCAACAAAACAACTTTAGCCCTAAACCGTAAGTCCCAAGCCGTAAATTGGCAGGTTACCGTCGGGGTAGAGTTTGGCTCGCGAACGGTCGATGTGCAGGGGCCCGGCCCTTAGTGTGATCGTTGCTGGTTTTGCTTTTATGAGTATACGGGAGAAGCTAGCAGCTTCGGGTGTCAGGTTCACGCGGCTCCTGTGCATTTAGGCTCATTTAAAACTAACCGATGCAGGCAGAAGATCAAGCTGCAGTGTTGGGACACGGCCGGCCAGGCGCGAACACTGTTGTCAGAGCTCCAAGGAGGTCGCTCGTTTTCGGTGGTAATATGGAGCTTGCATAACTAGTATATAGTAGTCCCTTGTCCCCATTAAGTTTTAATATACCGTATAGTAAGTATGTCCCAAAAGCTATTCCAGTTACTACGACCGCTCTTTTTGGCAGAAGCACCACCCTAAACCATAAACCCTGCACCCGAAAACCTAAAGCTGCAAACATCCGGCTAAATCCCCCAAAGCCCAGAGCCCACACCAGACCGCATCTGCGGATACCTACCCAGATCTTCCAACTTCCCTTGCATAAGGGATATACCTCAAGTTACAGTATATAGTAGTATCCCGTATATGATTTGAGGTGGATGATGTCATTAAACAGGGTATACATTCAGGCGGAGAACCTTCAACGCCCAACACCCACAGCTCTAACCCTAGACCTTTGATCCTCCACTCTACACCCTTAACCTTGCCCCTAAACCCGATGTAGGTAGGGTCTCAAATCTCTGAGGCCTTAAGACGGAACCCTTAACCCTGAACCCTCAACTGTAGGCCCCAGGCCTAAGGCCCTTAGCTTAAGATCTAAAAGAGGATCGCTTCCGCTCCATCATCCGAAGCTACTACCGTGGGGCTGCTGCTGCGCTTCTGGCTTGGGGCTTGGGTGGCTCGGGTTCTACTGAAAGTTGGAGTTCAAAAATTGAAGTTGGGGGTTTAGCGACTAGGATAAAGGATGGTGTAGGGTTTCGGGTTTAGGGCTTGGGATTTGGGATTTCGGTTTAGGGTTCGGAGCCAAGGGTGCAGGGTTTAGAGGGATCCTTAAAATCATTGAAATGAGGTTCCCGCATGTATTCGCAATTTTAGAACGAACCTGAGCGACCCGCTTGTTTGTTTTAGATTCCGCCCTTCAAGGCATGGGTTTTAGGCTTTCGGACTTCCGTAAACCTGAAACCCTAATTCTTAAATCCGGGAACCTAAACCTAAATCCTAAACCACCTAAATTTGGCCCTCGGTTTAGTGAAGTGATTTCGGGAATCACCGGAGCGCGAAGGCAGAACCTGCAAATTCCGAGCCCCGAGACTCGAAGTGTAAATCCCTAGCCATGCTTGAGGGGTCATGGGACTTAATTAGTAACTAGGGTTATACTTAAGGCCGTAAGGTAACTTTACTTATAACTACTTAAAACCCAAATTTAGGTGTTTATAGCCTTACTTACTACGCCCCTTTTTTCTCCAAGTAGTAGACACAGCGTCTTAATTAAAGCAGGCAGCACACATGCAGGGAAAACAGAGTATAGATGGATTTAGGGCCGTTTGGGGGATAGGAATGTAAGGCTCAAAATACAAAGTGTTTTTCGCTTTCAGGTTCATCACTTGAGATTAATGTAGGGTTTAGGGTTCCGGGTTTGGGGTTCAGGTGCCGTAGTATAGCTGGGTTTAGGGTCGAACGATTCAGGGTTTGGGTTTGCTGTTAAGCTTTTGGGATTTCCGATGTCTGGTTTAAGTTGCTGAGTGAGAAACCTGAGGTCTACGACATCACGCGGTGCGCCCTGCCTTCTTGTGGAGCCCAGGGTGGAATGCAGGGTTTCTGGTTGCGGCCAAAAGCCATTGCTACGCCCCAAGACCTGAACCCTAAAGCTACTTGGAGGATCATGGGACTTAGTAAGTGGGGTTATAAGTACCTTAATTGGGGTTTTTAAGTAACTGTAAGTATAGTTACCTTAGTTATAACCCGAGTTACTAAGTCCCATGACCCCCCAAAAGCTAAATCCGCAACCCTAAAGCCGAAACACCAAAGCTGAACCCTCAATTCCTAAATGGGAGCTTCCGAAAAATTTCGGGACCCAAATATAGCACCCTAAATAGTAGGATCCTTACTATAAGGACCCCAAAATAAGGTACCCTCATTTTCGGAAACTCCTCAATAGCGGCTTCGGTCGGTTTGGGCTTCAGCCTGTACGTAGGGGTCAGATGTAACTTATCTGGAGCTCTAACTGATTGCTGAAGCCAGCCGGGAAAAACCTTGCCGATTCACGCAAGTGAGCTTTCAGGCGTATATCATATCGGGGCCTTGATAATTAGAATAAGGTTTGGGGGTATACTAGACTATAATCATAATAAGGAGCCCCCTAAACCCTAAACCCTAAACCCTAAACCCCCCGAAACCCCACATTCTTTCTAAAGCTCCTTCACTTCAGGTTGGGGTGCGACAGCAAGGTTTTATCTGCCGGGAATGGGTACTTCTTGTGTTGTATAGTAGATTTCTTCCTGAAGCTTAGGTTGAAAATTTCGTGGTCTGAAGCTCAGGGTGTTTTCAGGGCTGCTGTTTTGGGTTTAGGTGTTCGAGATTTTGGTAAGATATATAGGTTACGAGCCCAGAACCAGTTACAGCATTGTTATCGAACTTCCACAAATTGAAACCCTACCTTTAAACCCACGCCAGCCTACTTTTTGTACGGAGCTTGTAAATTCCCTTTTCGGGTTTATAACAAGCGCCTAGATAAAAGTAGGGTTTGGTAGGTTAAGGTATTCTAAAAAGTTGAGTGCCTCGACGCCTGCATCGCTGTTTCGGCCCACACGTCTGCTGGAAAGCCAGAGACATGACAGGAGCATCCGGTTCGGAACTCAGAACTTTAATGGAGGGGCCTCTAATTCTTTCGGGACCCTATTTTAAAGCCCCGAGCCGATCTTTCAGAACCTCAAGCACAAAGATTAGGGTGTAGGGTTCCATGCTCCCGAACCCGAAGTGCACACCGATACTTGCCGAAATTCGACTAAGCTTGCCGCCGAGCTCCCCACAAGCCATGGGAGCGTGGCCTGGCAGGTTTAGGGTTTAGGGTTCAAGCCGCACTGCACTGTATGGGGTTACGGGTTTGCGATTTCGGGGAGGTTAAGGGCAGGTTTAGGCTGTAGGGTCGGGGATTTGTGGATGAGGGATTGCCATAACCTACCAAAGCCTACTTTATATGTAGGCTCGTATTATAAATCCTCTAATTTGGAATTTGCAGTTACACTAGAAACAGTAGGTTCTCGTGTGGGTTAATGTAGGGTCTAGGGTTTCGGGCCAAAGTTACGTGTGAAGTCTACGTATAAACACCGTACATGCAATTCGGAGCTTACCCTAAACCCTTAAAACCCGGAACCCCTAAACCCCTAAACTATCCTACACTCCTAAGCCCCTAAACCCTAAGCCCAAACCTTCAACCCTTACTCGGCTGTTTTGCTTCTGACCATTGGAGATGAGGGTTCTGGGGTACGCCTTAAACTTAGCGGGCAAGCAGTAGATTGCGTGCAGGAAGCTTCAGAAGACGTCGTAGGCACGTCCCGAATTCCATCCGACAGGCTTGCTCCCTGATACTGATGTTTGTGGTTTTCTTCAGGTTTGGAGTTAAGGACAGGGGGTCTTAGTTCGGAGCCAACGCGGGAATAGAAGTCGCACCTCTTTTGCAAGTAGCTAGGGGATTGAAGCGACCTGGGCCCCCAAAGTCCCTGTACTTGTTGCAAAATTAGGCTACAGGGCCGGTATTCTGGGTGCATATGGTGTCTAGGTGGTGTCCAGGAGACCCCAAGACCAGAGACGAGCCGCAAAGGTTGCGGAGCTGTTGGCTAGTTTAGGGTTTAGGGTTTAGGGTTCACAGAAGAAGCGACAGCATCGGCACAAGTCGCGAGCATGTTGAGCGCGCAGTCTCTGCAGCGATCGCACCTTTTCCGCAGCATGGACAAGACGCAACAGGAACTTAAACCAGGAGTCATTGTGAAAAGCTCCTGAAACGGGCGTTCAAGCTGGCCTGGTGCGTTTTGCAGGAGAAGTCGAAACAACCTGTCCAAAGCACGGAAGCCACGCTGAACGTGCTGGTAGCTCCAATGGTTCGGATGGTGTGTGTGCTACTTGGCTAAGCTCTTTCATCCGTGGCACACTAAGACGTGCTCCCCGGATTGCAGCCAGATCAGCTGTAGAAGCTCGCATTCGCTCCATTGGTGGGAAGACATGGAGAGCAGCATAATATGGCCCGCTCTCGACGCAATGGAATGCGACGCCAGTCACGAGCTCAGTGACGTGATCTTCGTGTCCATATTTCTTGTGCGACTGGCTCCGGATCCGAGTCCTTCCGACGACGCCGCGTCTCATAAGAATTCGGCGCCCTTTGCGACCCCCACCTCAAAGAAACAACAAAAACCAACGCGCTCGTTTGAAACCCCAGCAGTTCCAACATCCCTGAACCATCAACTCTAGACTCTAGACCCTGTAAGTCTCAATTAAACCTAAACCTGTAAGCCCTAAACCCTGAACCCTAATAATCCCTAATTTAACCCCATAATTACGCCCTAATGCTTGAACCCCATATGCCGCAAGCCCTGCCTCAACCCTATAAGCCCTAAACCCTCAGCCCTAAGCCCTAGGAGCGCTAAATTCTGAACCACCGCAAGGCTTGAAGCCTGAACCCCAGAAGCCCTAAACCCTGAACCCTACAAGCTCTAACCCTAGACTCTATAAGGTCTTTACTCCCTAAACTCAGGGGCGACGACGACACCTCGGGCGTGGCGGTCTCCCTCCACGCCGCGTCGGGATGCCCAAAAGTTGGCCGTCGGAGTGGTTGATGGTTTCGGGTTTAGGGTTTGGGGTTGAGTTTAAATGCCCCCGTGACTTCTTTTATCTTTTTGAAATGTGGGTTCCCATGAGGGTTTATGAAGGTGTTTATTGCTATGTTGTTCATACTGTTGATGATATAAATCCTGCATTACCCATAATAAGGAATATACCGTTATTCCCTAGTTTAGGGTCCTTAAGGTAATGCAGGATTTATAACATCAACCGTAGTTTATGGCTTTGGGTTCAGGGCACAGTAGCTCAGGCTGCAGTCTTTAAAGGTTTCAGGCTTCTTGGCCTTGCAGTACCAAACTCAAAGTCAAGAGGTGACCATCGACGCTGTAGTACGTGGGTCAACATCAGGGTCCCTTGTTGGGGTATCCTAAATAATCGGTGCGGTACCATATTAAGGACCCAAAAAGGCACCCTAATTTTGACAACCACCCGTATAAGGGCCAATCGACATTCCCTGCATACTTAGCACAGCCTCGAGTCCCACCCGCCCGAGCAAGGTAGGTATCTGCGTGCTGATACACTTCTTACTTGCAGGGTCGGGGGACTTAGTAAGTCGGTAACAAGTAGACTTATAAGTACCTTAAAAGGGTCCCTAATTGGAGTTATTATACTTATAAGTACCTTAAAAGCGTCCGTGATTGGGGTTTTGACACTTATAAGCCTTGAGAATATCTACTCACTACGTCCCCCGACCCTCCAAGTAGTGCCGCCAGGCTTGAGAAGAACTGTTATTGGCTGCTAGGCTCTTGTTGAAGAGCTTAGTTTAAGTTACCATAAATAGGGATCTATAGTAAATAAGATGGTTTTTTGGGCAACTTAAGCTAAGTTCCTTAACAACTAAGAACCCAGTTGGGTTGTAGATTTCGGCTCAGGGTTTCACGCTTCACTTGAGCGTGCCACCCACTTCTGGGGCCCGGGGACTTAGTAAGTAGTTCGTTTATAGACGTATAAGTATCATAACCCCAACTAGGGTCCCCCTTAAGGTACTTATAAGTCTATTTAGTATCTTCCTACTAAGGACCCCCGGCCCTCGAAGCAGGGTGCTCTTCGCTTGTACCACCAAGGCAGAGACAAGGTGCTTCAGGGACCGGAGGACTGGAATCAAGTACGTTATGAGGTAAGCACCCTGCCTGGGGTGCTGCTACAACCCTACAAACTCCCAAAACCTTTAAAGATTCACGCTAAGCCCTAAGCACTGGTTCTTTAAACAGCAGCCCCCTTATATACACATTTATTTGTTTTTTTTTTGTTTTTTCTTATCGCTGGGGTGGGGGGCACCCCTGAAGCCTAAAGCTCAGTGCTGAACCCTTGACTATGTCAGACAAGATGACAAGGAGCCTTTTGAGCTTGAACCCTGAGCCCAAAGGTCTAGCAGCTCCGTGCCAGTCTTCCACGGTTCCCAGGCCGGCATTACGATACAGGGTAGTAGGAATACTTTGTAATCGTGTCCCCTTACCGATAATGAGTTACTATTGAGGAGGCCCCTACACTAAACCCTATAGACTTTCATAACAGCCTTAAAGGAATCCTTAGTTGAAGCCTCTTCCAAGTCTTCTCAGGAGAAGGGAGGGTCGGTTATTCCAGATTTGTTGGGATTAGGGCTTTAGGGGTTGGAGGATCTGAACAAGTTTGGGGTTCGGCATTGAACTGAACAAGTTTTTACTGATCACTTCCTTAACCCACCAAGACCTACGTTTTGTGGGGTCCGTATAAAACCCATATTCGGTGTTATAATAAGAACCCGCAAAAACGTAGGTTTTGGTAGGTTAAGGTTGAGATGTAGGGCTCCGGGGAGGTTCAAGAGGATTTGGGCTTGGATGCTCAGCGATTGCTGTTCAACGAGGTTCAGGGTTCCAAAAGGACCAGGGGGGCTGTAGCCCCTAAACCCTAACCCACACCGTAAACCCGGTAGGCTTAAGACATACAAAAAGTTTGAAAAG